TATATGTTTAAATGACATATGCGAATATTATTTTTTGTAACACAAAATTAAATTGTGTATGGACGGAAAAATATAATTTATAAAACAATAATTAACATCCTGAATAAAAAATAAGCAGTAGCATTCATGTTGTTGCAATTTTTCAATGACATATACAATGGCATTTATTAGTACGTGTTTTATACCGAAAGATATGTCTACATACATACGTACAATACGTCGAATAAAAGAGCCACAAAATAATTTTGTTTTTTTTTTATCATTCTAACAAATTATCGATTATCCTTCATTGATTTTCATTTGGAATTAAAATTTTATTTACGTTCTTCCTTGACATACTATATGTGTACACATAGAAATAAAATTCGACTTGATCGTGAGCATTTCATATTTTTAAAGCTCCATATATATATATGAATATTATAGAACTTCATGATTTGTAAATATACAAAACTTATAGAACTTCATGATTTTTGTAAATATACAAAACGAATGTCCGGCCAGCACTGATTTATATTTCTTATTAATCATAAAATACTTTTGATATAATACTTATAGGTATGCTTGCGATAGCGTCTCGACCACAGTATATATTTGATCGAAATGTGGTCGTTTTTCTGGTTCATAATCCCAACATCGCAACATTAATCGATAGATTTCTTCAGGCGTTCCATCCGGAGCTGGCATTCGATATCCTGATACAATCAATATGTGTAAAATGCCGAAATAAATTACAAACACGCAATAATATATACGCTTAATTCACTACATACATATATATGTTAATCTCATAATTAAGTTTTTGTTAATTTTTATTATTTGCTCTCTTACCTGCATCAATTTTTTCACGTGCCTGCGAATTAGACATGCCGCTATATGGATTGCCACCTTTGGAAAATATTTCCCATATCAGAATTCCATAACTCCAGACATCACAAAGCGATGTGTATTTACCTGAAAATCATATCATAGAATCATGCATCATATAAATGCATTGGTTAATAAAAATGATATAGTATTTAGTATATTATGAAGATGGTAAAAATGAAATCTTATAACTTACCGAAATTTAAAGCTTCTGGTGCGGTCCATTTAATGGGAATTTGTTTCATACCATCTGAAACTATATATTCTTCCTCTTCTCTTGACATTCCAAAGTCAGAAATTTTGACTATGCACTCGTATCCTAGGAAAATAATATTCATTCTCAAAATTATATATTATTCGATTATTATTGCCTAACTCAATCAAATTTAAATTTAAATGTTTGTCCTCTCCCTCTTCCCTTTCTTGAAACGTAGTTTATTTACCTACGAGGCAGTTGCGAGCGGCTAAATCTCTATGGATGCAATACTTAGATTCCAAGTAGCTCATACCAGCCGCAGCGTCCTTGCACATACGCAGTTGCTCCCGTTGTGTTATTGTACTAGCATTCTTCCGTAAATACGTAAGTAACGAACCACCTAGAGTTAGCGATTAGCGTGTAGACTATCGTAGCGCATAGCTACATCACAGACTTTTAATTTTAATATATTACGTTGGCCAGAGATGTTAACAATGTTAGTGTAATGCAGCAATAAAAACGAAATTTAGCGGCTTACCGGGCACCAGTTCCATCACAATCATAATCGGCTGCTTTTGAACGCAGATACCGATAAGTTTGACTATGTTCGGGTGATCATATTGTTTCAGTATCCTTCCTTCTTGCAGAAATTTACGTTTTTGCTCATCTGGCAACGTTACCTTGCATGTCTTCACGGCCACCTCAGTCTTACAAGTCTTCAGTTGCGCTTTGTAAACGTCTCCAAAATTTCCCTGCGGATCACATCGTCAACGTCACGTTGTCATATAAAACACAGAAAAGCTATTGTCAGCCTACTCACTCGACCTATTTTCTCCAACAGGATGACATCATCGTTATTAAGCTCCCAACGCTCGCGCAAAATTGGCGTCTTAAGAATAGCACCAGATCGACTAGTCACCGGCAAGCCGGACAACCGTTGATGTCCGATCAATTCTTGAATAGATGGAAATGCGGGTCCTTCAAATCTATAGTGTCCCTATAGTAATGTTGAATATACTTTAATATAATTCAACTCCTCGATAAATAATAATTCTGAATAAAATTCTTTAATATTTTAATATCAGCTTATATATTATCATTAATACATTCTTAGTTTAGTCTTACCTCTGATGTAGTTTGTACAATAAAGTGCTTGTGCCCATCCCAACAAACAGATAAAACTATCTGGCATTCATCGTTTCTCATTGTCTCACGTACTAAAAAGTCCCCTTCGTTGACAAGTAATCTTACAACTTCTTCTCTTGGTAATACTCCATGAAACCATTCCTCCTCCATAAGACCGCCGTTTCCATTACTTTTTTGATTATTAGTTAAATGCGACATTCCGCGTAATGGTACCTATAGGTAAATTTAATTTACTCAACAAATATTGACAGCAAAATAAATAAACTATTTGCAATTTCAATCAATGTTATTTGTATATATTTGACTTATTTTTACATGTATTTTTACATGTATTTTTAAATGTACAAATATTAGCGTAAAAATATTCATGCATGAAATTCTGAGGGGGCTTAATATCAATAACATCATAATTCAAAGTTAACAATATAAATGATTATTCATGCAACATTTTTCAATTTTAATAAATTATAATTTAATATGATTGCAAGGGGAAATTGTTTGCAAGCTCGCATTGACTTTTATAATAAAGAAATATCAATATGGCAAACTAAGCATTATGTACGTCCAACGCAATATAATGATAAAAAATTTATTATATACTACAAAGGCCAGGAGATGTGTAGAGATCTATATAACGATACAAAACATATCAAACATTTTATTACTTTGCGATGGGACACAGGAAACAGACAGGAGCACTCAGATCACACGAATAAAATGTAACACATACAACAGGAGGGACAGTTTTATCTGCTTTAGCTGTAGGTCCTTCGCTATTTGCCCTAATCATTCCGTTTTTCGAGTCATTAATTGCCGGCAAGGATTTAAAAGGGGTTTTTAATATTGTCATAAATCGTTGATTTCTCCTTAACGTGAACAGACCGCTATCTGCGACTGTATTTCTCTGCAAAGGGCTAGATCTGACTAACTTATAATTCTAAGCAACTCAGTATTGATAACAGAAACAATTAAATGTAGTACTTTTATATATTATTTGTCACGATTATAAAATAATTTTTAACTTTTATTTACACTAAGGTTTGATTATAATTAAAATCTAAACATTCTAGGGAATTTCTTAATCTCGAGGAATAGTTGTAGTTACACATACGTGATATATCGTATATTGGATCATAATAAACAAAAGAAAAAAGGAAATTATAGATTTTAGTACTTACTTTACTAATTGCAGGTGAATCAGTGAAAGAACCTTCCATAGAAAGATCGCAACCTGAAGGCACCTCTTCACAGCCTAATTCATTGAGGGCGCTTCTAATAACATCCACTTGTCTTTGTAATTTTTCTCCTGACAACGTAATCTTAATTCTTCTCTTTCACGAGAATAATCCAAGATTGAAATCCTATGGAACAAAAATATACTATCGCTTTAATAAAATTGATAAACAAATTATTGTCTTGATGCATTATGTCAATAATAAAAGATTTATACCTAGAATCGCCATTATTTTCTTGTGAGTATTGCGGACTCTGTCGATTTTGTTGCGTAGTCTTGAGAGAAGTTTCAAGTTCTGCCAACCGACTTTTCAACCAATCTATAGTTAAGTTGTCGACAGTCAGTTTATTTGGTGATAATTTTCCTGAAGTGTCATCTACAAGATTCTCATCAAATGTAAATCTGATCGGAGATGCTGGCCTAGTTCTATATTAAAATTTGTAACATTTGTATTAAAATAAATAGTTTAGGTTTAAAAATAATGATAATGTTAGATACACACTTATGCTTTCCAATAAAATCTTTATACTCTTCAATAGGTTTAAGACTATCAACTGCCTTCTGTACTCTTACATGAATCTCCAAGAATTTTTCTGTTGTAAAATCTGAAT